CCTTCTTCTGCTTCCTCTTCTAAATTTGATATGTCTATAGGGTCCCAACAAGGCTCACTATACATAATGTAAAAGGAGTGATCAATGATAAATATAAGAAGATGGCCAAGTTGTGCAAAATAGGTCAGGTTATATTTTGTTTCTAGGATGTATCAATGATGTGTCATAGATCTAAGTTTTACTTTTGTCAAAACCATGGACTCCTAATGTATGTGAGATTTTTAATGTATCTAAAGATCATGTCATATGCATTAAATTGTGTGTTTGATAAGGAGTAGTAGAAGACTAGGGATAGAAGAGGAGTGATATTAACTCTGTCACCATAATTAAGTATAATGTTGTTCCAAAGAACATGTTGAATGACACGGGAGTTGAAGCTTAAGGAACTCATTAAGGGTTTTTGGTGAGGTATAGGGGAGTTCCAAACAAAAGTGTTAACTTAGGTCTAATTATAATCTAAGATCCATATATAAAATGTGGAGAAATGCCGGTATTTAAAAGGTGAATATACTCATGAAGGTCATCTATGGTGATAGGAACATATCATTAACAAACTTGTGGTTGACACTAATATGGTTGGAGGTTACACAAAGATTTGAAAAAAAAAACTCTAATAACAGCTTAGTGTGGTATGGAAAAGTAAGGCAAATGTTAAAATGAAGTGTAGAGGTAGTAAGTAGTTCAAGTACATAGTAAGAGAGATTTTCTTGATTAAGAATTTATAAATCAGTGATGGAGGCTCCTCTATAATAGACATAAGCATCTTCATCCTCCTCACATTGGAACCTATGGGGTCCACCATTAGGAGGAATTCTACATGACCGTGCTTCAGTGGAGCCATAGATATTTTAGTGTGAAAATAGAGCGCAGAGAGGAGAGGGAATTTGGAACTTTGAAGTGTGAATGAAATGGTTAATTTCCCTTCTCTTTTATAAATCAGGGTTGCTTTTACAATATGATAGAAGGTTTGTACAATATGATAAGATTCTTCTAAAACGTATCATCGAGAATATACAGGTAAAAGTCAAAATAGTATGATTGAGTATCATCCAGTAAAATCTGTGTAAAGTTCATCATTCTAAGGAGTCGTTGGCATGATTATTGACCATAACATATCATACAGTACGATGAGTAATTTGCACAATACAATCAATAATAATGAATCATCCAGAATAGTCAACATAATAATAATTAGGGCCAACAATCAAATCCTATGTGGATCTTACTGCACAATGAGTGCATCGAAGAGTACAAAGTGAACATAAATTTAAGGTTTGTCATCTCATAGTTCTTTTCGCTCTCTCATTAAAATAGTTTCGTTTGTCATCTCATTACCGGATCTAAGAGTAGAATGCAAATAACATGGTCGTTAGAGCTTAGAAAATATAAATATCTGCCATGGGATGTCTTCTTTTAGGTGCGAGAGAGGAGCGAAAGAGAAAACGAAAGTTGTACTCAAGGTCGTAAGTCGTGACTCACAAGAGAGAAGCAAAAAGAAAAACAAGCTATTGATGTTTTTCATGTGTCCAAAAAAAGATGTTGGTGACTTCTTTGGATTAATAAATAATTTTAAAAGGAACAACTATACAAATTAGAGTATGTTTCCTCGTTGGAGAATTTGTTTATATGTTAAGCCACTAAAATTATCAGCTTTAAGCCCTTTTAGGATTTCAATTTTAGATTTAGCCACTAAAATAATAATTTCTCATGTTGACCAAAATCTCTTTTCATCATTCCACCCACAATGGAAAGTCATTCCTCCCTCTCTCTTTCAATATTTTACCCCATTAGTCTTTCTCTTTCTATAGATAAACATTGCTTGCTCCGAGTTTAAATTGGATTGAAGACTTGAAAAGGAAAAAGCAAGTAATAAATAAAAAGAAAGCTGACAAGGGGTTGTACCATAATGGATGCTTAAGTTATATGTGGGCTTATGCCATTGATCTAAATAATTTTTTTTTTAGGGGAGGGCACGTGTCCCCCTTGGCCCGCCCCCCCGGTCTAAGCCTAAGAGAGAAGTGTCTATGCAAAATCTAAAGCTATCAAGATGAATGAAGATTGTTGAAGAGTTTATAATTTAAAATTTTATTTTGAGTAATGCCTTTTCATATGCGCTAGCTATATGATTGATATGAAATAACCAATCACACTTGAGAGCATAATTTATATAATTATTAAAAAAAAAGTTTTGAAATAGTCAACCAAGATAAGTTGATCTTTGGCAATTGTAATATACTACGATGACATCGTACTATATGACGGGCTTTACATTTTTTATGTTTATGATAGATCAAGTCATATTAATGGCTAAAATATTCAAAATTCAAAATTTAAGACTAATCATATTATATGATGCCTATCAAACTATTTGATGAGTTTAAAGTAAATTGCATAAACTTCATAAGCTCATTTCTTTAATTATGTTAATTTTAAAAAGAAAATAAGTATACTATATGATACACCTCATACCATATGATGAAATACAAAATTAACCTAATTAATATCCATATATCCAGGAGCAAATCAAAATAAATTCTGAGTGAATAGATCATATTATATTATCCATATCGTATGATCAAATTAAAAAAAAAATGATTTTTTTTTTTTTTTACAAATCCCCTAAATGAACTAATCATACCATACGACTATGGCATCATACTTTATGATCAGGCCAAAATTATTTAAGATTCATAGAATCTTTCTTCTGAGTTTAGTATAAAATTGATGATCATATTACCCAACATAATTTTTTTTGGGCACAACTTCAGTAGAAGCAAAAGGAGGATTGAACATAATTTTAGAACTTGTTCACCCAAGTTCGCGAGTACATGAATCACCCTCCATAAAATAAAGGGCCTTCGACAACTGATTGAGTTTCATTTTATCTTGTGATTATAATATATATATTCTTTCTTTTATTTATGTATGTTCTTCTCATTTTGACGTGTCAAAGGAGGAGTAGCTGTTAGTTGTGTCATGGTTATATTCTTATTAGTGTTTTCTTTTGTTAATATTAGTGCTTTTTTATTCATTATTTCATAAATTCAAAACAAAAAAATCATTACTTGTGGTATGATACTTTGATGAAATTGTGCTCTGTACTATTACTTTATCTTATTTTTGATTTTCATTAATTCCGCCCAATGGAAGAACTTGTGATGGATGATAATTTTGTATCTTATATAAATATCTAGATTTATTCTTAACTTATGAAAATCATAGTGTGGGATTTAGTCAAACAATGTTACCATTTGTTCATCTTTAAAATTATTTTGTTCTTTACTTAAATCTTATTTATCCTTTTATATTAATTTTATAAAAAAAAAATTATTTCTAACTAATTTTGAATTTTAGTTTATTATATGTCATATGTTTAGTTAGTTAATATAATTAAAAAAATACCAATTTACTCCATCATGGGTGTTGCCACATTTCATCAAACCAAATATCTAGAGAAGACAAATTAGATGACACCAAAAGTTATCATATATGAATCTAAATGATCTCAATTCACTCACTTGAATTATAATTATAAACTTTAAAATATAGATTAAATGTATTTGAAGATCTCAAAATCTTGAATGCTTAAAATCAAATCAGTCTATTTGACGAAAAAAATTAATGAGCCCAAGATCGTTCTATTATGAGGGTTTTTAGGCATTTAAACGTTGGATAAACAATCTATGATCAAAGAATTCAATATGAATCGTATGCTAGAGTGCTATGAAATTTTGACCAAAGTTATTATAATGCCACTTTGAAAATATTATATATAGATCTTTATTTTTTGCATGAAGACGATATGAACTTGATTTTGTAGAGAGCTTAGAGATATGAAGAATTATAGAGCTCTATCTAACGTTCAATGCCAGCCATCATCGTTGCCTTACTACAATCATCACCTGATTGCCATCGTCCATCTACTATCGCCTGACCATCATTATCTGACAATAGTTGCTCGTCTATGATAACTCTTTCATTACCGTCTGATTACCGTCATTACTCGATTGTCGTCAATCTATTACCTATACCCAATCACCATTTCCCGACTAACATATAATTGCATTTGTAGGATTCTCCATCACATTCCAAAAAAAATAATTTGTGTTAAATACTTTGTAACCCAATCTTCTGCACTTGAGGTGAATATCATACTTGTAAAATATATGTATAATTGATCATTTAATTTGGACTAGTCCCTATAATTTTTCCCTTCTAGAATTTTTACGTAAAAGTTCTTTTTTGTTAGCTATATGTGTTTAATATTCATGAAAGATTAGGCCGTAAAAAATTCTTTCTATCAGCATGAATTTTTAATATAAAACAAAAATTATAGTTTATTATTTTTATTTTTTAGTTGTCTCATCAAAATTGAATTATTGAATCTATTTTAGGCAAACTTGATATTAACTTATAAGGATTTAAGTTTTTTGAATATTGTGTTTGGTTTGTTCGGTTTTATTTGATGAAATTGAATTCGGGTTGAACTAAAGCTAAGGCTTAATTCGAAATAATTTTTTTACTATTTTAAAAGTAAATTTTTAGTATCAAAATTTTTAATTTAAAAAAAATTTATGCTAAAAAATTATTTTAAGAATAGTAAAAAGCTATCTCAAATAAAATTTAAGACTTCCTTTGAGAAAAAAAAAGGTTTCCTTTGAAAAGATTTTCTTATTAATTTTTAAAAAAGCTTTTCAGTAATTTTTTTTTAATTTGAAAATTTTATACTATAAAACTGTTTTTAAAAGCATTAATAAAAAGAAATGAAATCTAAAATTTCATTTAAGATAAATTTTTTTGATTATTTGCTAAAATAATTTTTAAATATAAAATTTTATTAAGCTATAAATTTTTATATTAAAAAATTATTTTAAGAACAGGTAGAAAATTATCATATCCGGCATCACTCTGGTTACCGTATCGTCTCGCACCGGACTCTGAAGATAGCTCTCCCGTTCGCGCGATCCTATCGACGCACCAATTATAATTCAGAAAAATAAGCAAAAGTATAAATTTTTATTGTTTTTGGGGTGGTTCTCGAGACCCTGTGGACCAAACGGAAAGGTAAGTGAGGTGGAAATCTCTTTGGTCGGAATCCACCGCGTCGAAATCTTGGCGAAGATGGCGATGAGGGACTTGGTCACCGGCGGCGCGGCCTGCGCCGTCCCCGGTAGCTCATCGTCCTCGAATCCCTTCGGTGCCCTTGCGAACGCCATCCTGGGATCATCCATGAAAGCCCAGGTGCTTCTTAGGTTTTTTTTTTTTTAATTGTCTGCCTTTAATATTTCCTTGAGAATTTGGATTGGCCGTTCTATATCTGGGTTTTTTTGCCCTTTATGAATAGTTTAGTAGTTTCTAGTTCTTTATGTAAATTTAATGTTACAGTTCTGTTCAATTTAGTTTTATTTTGCATCAGAAATTGTTTACTTTACTTGTTCCGTGTTTTCGTTTTGTTGTTAAATACATGAGTTTAATCGTCGAAGCGTCGTGGATAAATTCCTTTGCTAGGGGAGTTTGTAGTTTTTTTGCGTGTTGAGGAGCATTTGCACACACTACTCAAAGAGAAGCTTTAGTTTGCCTTGAGAGTTGGTGCTCTCTGCGAAACATCATAGGCTTAAATTAGCTCCCTCTGCTAAGAGCTGTGCGGTCTGGTCTTAATCTGGATGGGATATCTCTGGGTACTCGCATTCTTTTGAGTCCTGGATCAAACTATAGTGCAGATGATGAATCACATGATGAAAATATTTAAATTACAGCCCTTATGGATTGCTGGAAATGATTGCGGCGCCATGTGGTTCATTGCGCGCCTAGTATAAGAAGCAGGTGATTATGGACTTGTGGTAGCAGAGTCAGGCTGGATTGGGCTTTAATAATCTTGAAACAAGGTAGATTTGGTCCATTCAGCCCATGGTTGAGAAGGAAGACTTTGAAAACAGTTTTTAAAATTACTTTTGATGTCTTCGTACATTCTTGACAAAACTTTTCTAAACTGATTCTTAAAGCTTGTATATCTTGGGATCCATATTTCAATCTAAAGCTTTGAAGCAATCTTATGGTCCTTCATGAATTGAGTTCATGTCACACATAAAAAAGATGCCATAAGTCCAAAACAATATGACTTATTATTAACTAAACAAATAGTGTAAATTGGGTCATTAATGAGATTGCCATAGATTTTTTAGAAAATGCTTGAAATTGATCCTACATTAGCTTGGATACTTGGAGGTTCAACAAGCTGCTTTAAACGTTATTAAAAAAATGATATGTGCTCTTAAAGTGTGAAAAAAGATAAATATTAATAAATTTTATGCTGATTATAAGAAAGTGAGAAGTCCTGCAAGAGGTAGTGAACATATCAAAAGATACAAATTTTGATGATTCATATGATATGCTATGGGCAGAGGAAGGATAAATTGATATGATATAAAATGACTAGTCAATAAACATGAGATTTAAAATTTTTTGATCTTGTTAGATGCATTAGAGGCAAATGCAATAATTTCTTAAAGAAGAAATATAAGGAATGATAAAAAAATTCTATATAATTTGATGTTTTTTTGGAAGAAATCATTTTGGAAGAGCATATTGAGCGTAAGGTTTACGTATAATTAAAATTGATCTAAAAGTTAAATGAATTTAGCTCTAAAGAAAATGACATTAGGTAGATCTTTTAACTTCATATTAGATTTCAATTTACATTTGGAGAGTTATGAGTGATATATTTTATAATGTTTGATTAATAAAGCTTTTTAATAAAATTTTATAGTTATAGATCACAAAGTTGAGGCAATTTTTTCTTTGCACTTTTTTTATTAACCAAAATGGGCAAAGTATATTTTCTAGTTATTAATTGTTGTAAAGGAAATCACAATATTAAAAAATTTTGTTGCATTAATGGCTTATTTGAGGCATCTTTATCATTGTATAAATTTATTTACTGAGTGAAAGGGATGGAAGTTCACTCTGAAAACGCCATATTCATAGTGGTCAGTGAGATCTCCACTTTCTGAATGCACTGAACGCAAAGTACCTGGAACAACACAAATCTTTCTTAAAGCAGAATGCTTAGTCTATAAGTCTTTACTTTATGTAACACAACTTTGATTTTCTCTTATTTATTCAGTTCTTTCACAGCTATTTAATAAGATAATTGATTAATTAAATGATTAAATTCTAACAAGTTAATACTTAAATCAATAGTTAATGTAGAACCACTTATTATGTGCGGTGAATTTTTGTCTTCTGTCTTTTCCTAGCCATTCTGAGCTAAGGTAAGAGTCTGTCCATTTTGGGTATTATGATAATCAGTTTGCTAAGAAAAAGGAATTCTTAAAGTGGTTTTCACTTGGAAGCTTCCTTCTATCTATCGATACTTGAGAATATACTTATTGGAAGCATTTCATATGGCGGACATTACCACCTGAATGACCAACTTACTTGCCCTTTCTGTCATGTTTGCGCTAAACCAACAAGCTGAGCATTAGATAGGACTTTTATGAGGTAAGATTAGGATTTTAACAAGCTGCTAAATATGGCAGGAATTGGACAATTGAGTTTCCCTTAAAAAGTAAGGTTACTGACCTGCCCATTTCAAATTTAACCATTTGAGTTGGAAAATCCAACTTCGTTTAAAGCAAAGTTACTGACCTGTGCATTTTAAATGGAGTAAGCTAAAGTCCCAAAACAAACCCATACAAAAAAGTGCATGTACTCTCTCCATGCAATATTGTATGTACTCCTGATGTGAAACGTACATGCGAAGATGAGTTTCATAATGAATTTGCACACTTAATTTTAGATAGAACATATAATTATATCTTTATAATAATTTGAACGACGAGATAAAACATTAAGAACGGAAAACGAGCTTACGGTTGAATCACACGGAAAACGAGCTTACGGTTGATCATATAACAATCAAGTCAATCTAACGTTGCGCACATGAATGATTTTCCACAAATATCCCTAGACTAACAATGAGATTAATCACTAGGAGTGTCCACTCACTCAACTCTCTAATTCACTAGGCCTTAGCGGATAAAAGATTAGCATGATTTCCATGTATCAAGATATCACCACAATAGAGAAGTAGAGTAAGAAGATAAGAGAATGGGTTGAAGAGTTTACCCAAAGAAAGAGGTTATACGAAGTTCCAGTGGTGGTTTGAGGGCTTGAGAGGAAGTAGACAGTCAGTGGTGTCTCCTTGGACGTATGGATAGCAACACATTTGTTCTCGAACCCTTGAACAAAACCCCGCAGACATAGGTGAAATGAAACTCCAAACTTCACTAGACAGCAGTTGGGAAGGTCTTCTTGGACAGCCTCTTTGTTGATTTTGATGTCCCGGAATTGATGGCAGCAAACTGTGAGTATCCGATCAGCTGGGTAGCAGCAGGGAGGCCTCCTTGGACAACTTTCCTGGCTGATTTTGGCACTTTTGGGTGGGGACAGCAATCCGAGATCTTCCAACCAGTTGGACAACAGGTCACAAAGCAGGGAAAACTCGTGACAGCATTTGGGAATTATCTAATTAATTGTTTCCAATTAGGATTGGCTGAAATAAATCACTCTCATATTGAATTTGAATTAGCTAAAATTCAGGGAGTGATTAGGGAGTCATTAATGGCAAGGAATAATGGGAATGAGGGAGGTTTTAATTGAAATAGAAAAACTGAAATAAATTTCAGTTTTAATTGGGATGAGAGGGAGGTTTAATTGAAATCAATTTCAGATTTCAAAATTAGAGGGGGTGTATTGATGACAATCAATGGGGAGCCCAAAGAGGGGGCCGGCGGTATGGAGAGAGAGAGAGGGAATTAGGGAAAGAGGGAGGGGTTTCCAAACATGAATGATGACTAGGAAAATTTTAAATAAATCCAAATCAATTTAATTTTCAATTTGAATTCATTCAAAAGTTTCCATAAATGGAATTTCCAAATTTGGAAAGAATTTGAATTTCGAAATTCAAATTCCACAGAAGGCTAGGGAAGGGGGCATGAGGGGAAGTGGTGGAGAGGGGAGAGGCCGACGGCAAGGTGGCTGACCGGTGGAGCTAGGGTGGCCGACGGGTTGGAGCTCCAAGGGTGGCGATGCTAGTGGAGGTTTCGGCTTCTTCCACTCTTGAACTTGGCTTGTGGTAGTCTATAGAGGAGAAGAAGAAATTAGGTAGAAAACCAAGAGCTCCACCAAGGGGCTGTTGGGTATTGCTTTGAGCCTCTCCTAGGTTATTCCTCACTCGAGAACTCACAAAGAGAACTCTAGAACTCACAAAGAGATCCAAAACCCAAGTTGAAAAATTCATATCAATATTCATCATCCTTTCCAAGAGGAAGGGGAAGGCTTAAATAGCCAAATACATGAGGGAAAAATAAAAGACATAATTGCCCCTAGGGCCAACATAAGACAAAGCCCTCAAGTAAGGGTAGAAAGGGAAAATTACAAATAACAATTCAAAAACATCAAAATAAACAGACACGATCGTAGCCGTTGATCTTCGATGTCCTCATCAACTCCTCTTCCCAGTTTGATTGGTCTATGTAATCTAAGTGTAGCCGCTCCTATATTTTCAGTAGATTTGTTTGGGTGGTGAAGCTTTATTCTGTCAAATTTAGATTTTTTTTATTGCTGCATTTTTCTTATATGGTGTTAACTTATCTTGTAGCTGAGCTTATCTACTTTTGGGTCAATATTTTTTATGATCATTTACTATATAGCAAAGAAGTTTGGTTTTGGTGGGAGGGCCTTTCACATTCTTATGCTGTTGAACAAACTGCTAAATGATAGCTAAAGTAGGGGAAGATCATATTCAAAAGTTGTTATTTTACCAATGTCATTCTAAGATTTACCCTAGATTACAGGTGGTGGTAAGGCATGTTTCATAGCAAGATATTTGTTTGTACAGTCTTGTCAATGATACATTTCTTTTTGCATCTTTGGGCGATCAAGTTATATTTTTAAAAGGGATTTTCTGATGGTTTCCGTTTATGGAAACTGTTACTAAGCAGGATTTGAAAGGACTTCCAGAAAGCCGGGTTACGGTACCTAATGCCTCTTCAGACTTGAGACCTGAAGCTCAATTTACAAGCATTCCAGGTTCTGAATATGAGGATCAGCTATATCAGCAATCAAATGCTCAGGCAAATTCTTATTCTGCATCTGTTCTATCTTGGTATTCTTGAAATCTTCTAACCATACTAACATATGACAGAGCTCTGAATTTATTCGTGGTTTTCATTCTGGTGGTAATGGGAGTTTTGAAGATGCCTGGGGTGAAATTCATCGACCTCCAGTTCTTCCCCTTGGTGGGATCAGGGAGAGTGAAGGTCGTTTTGCTGAATTCGAGCAGATATATGATGGTAGTGTGAATTCCAATATTCACCAAACATGGGATGGTAGAGTTTCTCATCCATTTTGCAAGTTCTCTTTTTTCTCATATTGTTTTTTAAACCTGCCATGGTAATATGATAGTTGGATTCACTTTTACTTTATGTAACAGTTTGGAATGGGTTACTTTTCAATTTTAAATGTCTTTTTGGTTTTCTTCTGTTTGGACTTGTGTTACTGGTTATATATTCAGGCATAATCCCTTTTGATTGGACGTCATTTATTTTTTATTCATTTTTGTCGTATGTCATTAAGTTTGAAATTGTATGTAGTTTTTACCATGATAGCAAGGAGATTGGTTTTGCTGCAGTTAATTGCAGAAGAGATAAGTCTTACTCATGAAAATCAGGTTTTTGATCTGCTCAAGCTTTGTAACTTTTAGAATACCCCAATTTTTTGTTGAGAATACTTATTTAATTGTATATAGAAAGGATTATAATGTTGCATTCTTTATGAGAGTTCAGGTGGTCAACTTGTTGTGTTTGTTGTGGCATTTTGAGGTGGTTGCACTACTGGTGCAATAATCACCTTGTCACAGAATTACCTTGCACATGTTTTATCAATCAGGCTCTATAGTTAGATGAGCTTATTAGTTATCTTCTAAGATCGAGGATGAGTTGTGAGGAAGCGTCTTCCGGTTTTCTAAATGACCTCCGTAGTCATGTTTACTAATTTATTTGCATTGCCATATTAATAATGTATTTTGGTGGAATGAAGCTGCGCTTGATTAACCCTTGAAAACTAACTTCTTTCTTGTCTTTCTAGCCAAGCTTGGGTAATCTTCATAGCTTATTTTATTTATGAATGCAAAGATTACTGGAAGTTATTACTGTGCCCCTAAAATTCAAAAGGAATATGTTATTGCATTTCAATTCTTTTTTTAATTTTTATTTGTTGATTTTTTTTTCTACAGGACCACCACAAAGGGTTCTATCCAATTTCTTGCACTATTTTGTGAATAGTGATCGTGATCATTTTGGATTTCGCCCAACTGTTCTTCCTGCTCTGGGTTTGTCAGAAAGTGATAAACGATGCATACGTGATCGTAGCTGCATCATGGCCAGGCATATTTTTGCTGATAAAAGTGATCAGTATATTAATGAACAGGTTGGTTTGCAATTTTACTCTTAGTGGAGATTAATCCACATTTATAAAATCACCAGTTGTAAATAATCTAAATGAATGAGTTCAGGTCTTTTTTCAGTTCATTAAACATTGAGTTGAATGCAATGAAGCTCAAGTTCATTAACAAGCTGAAAAATTGGGTTTTGTTCATTTTATTTATTTTTTGTGGAATACGAAATGTAAACTAAAAAAGCCCAGTTCTTTGACCAGCAAAAGCATTGATAATTTTTTGGATTGGTGACTCAAATTGTACGACAAAATAATTTTGACTTTCATAGTACAACCTATTTTAATTTCATAGAACCTAAGAAGTGTTGTCTATTGATTTTTAATAGTAAAATATATGATTAAAAATGAATTTTTTGTATCTATAGAAATAAATTTTTTGCAAGTGCATCCATAAATATATGTCCATTAACTTATCTTTCTATATTTACTTAATTTTATTGAGCTTTTTTTTTATTAACATAATTAAGTTTGCTCTTGTTTGTTGTTTGCTCATCTAGTAAATGAGTAGTAAAGGAGTTAGAAAATTTTTGTTCAAGTTTCAGTTGGGTTACATCAAGGATCAGCCTTAAGCCCATATCTTTTTGCTTTAGTCATGGATGTTGTCACTAGACATTTGCAAGAGGATGTACCTTGGTGTATGCATTTTGCTGATGATATTCTTCTTGTTGATAAGACGAGAGGGAGTTGAAGGTAAACTTGAATTATGGAGGTCAACCTTAGAGCCTAAAGGTTTTCGCTTGAGTAGATCTAAAACGGAATATATGAAGTGTAATTTTAGTAGTAATAGACCTAGTGAGGGGATTGTGACTTTGGGCGATCAAGTCATTAATAAGAGTACACGTTTTTGATATCTTGGATCTATTGTTCAAAGTGATGGTGAAATAGATGGGGATATTATCAGCAGAATTCAAGTTGGATGGTTGAAGTGGAGGAATGCATTGGGCTTCTTGTGTGATAGAAAAGTACCCCTCAAACTTAAGGGAAAATTCTATAAGATGGTGGTGAGGCCTGCAATGCTTTATGGTGCCGAATGTTGGCCATTAAAAGAGAAGCATAATACTAAGTTAGGTGTGGTAGAGATGAGGATGCTCAGGTGGATGAGTGGCTTTACCCTTAGAGATAGGATACGAAATGAGCATATACATGAAAAGGTTGAAGTAGCTCCAGTAGAAGATAAGATTAGAGGGAGTCGCCTTAGATGGTTTGGTCACATAAAACGGCGGCCTTCTGATGACCTGGTTAGGAGAGTGGAGGTATTAGATTTGACTTATGTTAAGAAAGGTAGAGGCAGACCTAAAATGACTTCGTTAGAAAATATTAGGAATAACCTTTCTTTATTAGATTTAGACGAGAATTTGACTTTTAATAGGACACAATGGAGGAAAATGATTCATGTTGCCGATCCCATGTAGTGGGATAAATGCTTGATGTTGTTGTTGTACAAAATTGAACGATACTTGAGCCCTTATTGAGTTAAGCATGAGTTATTCACGAATAATGCGCTTTTTTGACTACCATATCAAAATGATCAAACAATTACTATCTGGAAATTGTCTAGTTTGTGATCCTAGTAATTTATTTCAAATCTTCAGGGAGATTATTTTTTAAAGTAAAACCTCATGCACAAAATGTCCCCATGGTAGACTATTTTTGAAGTAAATAGAATTTTGTTCTTGCAATAACATAAGTGCACAAACATATTCAGGCAGCCTTTTTTTTAAGTAAATCTTATGTTTTGCTCATGCATGGATTATGTATGCATGTGTGTATTGGTTGAATTTTTTCTACGTTGTCATAGCAAGTTTTTGGATTATACTGCTACCTGTAAAAGTATTTTTCAAATCTTAAAATGACACTGCGAAGTTTTTGTTTATTTTGTTTGTGATGGGGCCAACGCAATCATCTGATGTTGCCCATTGTGATTTAGGAGATTATGGTTTTGAACTGAAACAGTCTTTTTGCTATTGCAAGCATAATGCTCACTCAATTCTTTCCAGTCGCCTCATTAGCAGGTCTTCATGTACCATATATGCTCTTTTTTATTTGTTTCATATTTGAGCTTTTATTCTGAAATGGCTGACTGCTATATAACCTAATAGTTCCGAGTCATTTGTTCTCTTCTAATTATGTTCCTCACTGATATCTATGTTAGGTTAGTGCATTCCTGCATTGTCTAGACATTGACAATAATCAGGTTGCAAGAGGACCTATGCAAGGACCTTATGCAGAACTTGAGGAATACTGGAATAATTCTCAAGCTGTTTTAAGACCAGGGGTTCCCCATCCATCTGATAATTGGATTACAGAATTCAGTCAACAAAGGAGAAATGAAGACCCCGAGTCCTGGGCTCATTCTTTTGAGAAACAACATGGTTCCAAAGGTTGGGTATCAGAATTTGAGCAGGTACAATATCTAGCTGCATTTTACATTTTTAATTAAGCATTTTTGTGCTACTATAAGTACTATGTGCTTAGCATCAAGTCTACATTTCAAAATGAACTTTCTTGATATTAGATGCTATTTTTTATAGAATAGTGATATTTGGAGGAGTATAATAATGCCAAGGAATTTTTCTCCCTTGTGTAGATTTAGAGAGGCTTGATCTTATTTTCTTATTGGTTTCAAATCTTGGTTTAAATGAATGATATGGTCATCATTTTCTTTGAGCTAGGTTTTTTTTTTTGTTTAAAAGACAATTGTTTTGTGCATTTTTTAGCAGCACGGGTGGTTTTTTTTCCTTCTAATTTTTTTAAACGTTTTGATCAGTTGCAGTAATCCTTCTGACTTAATAAATTTCCATTTGGTGTCAAATAATGTTGAATCCTATTTTATTGATTACAACTGTGACTTTTAAAACATTTTTCTTAATAGAGATCCTTGAATATCTCCCTAGTGGATTTTAGTTTAGCCATCATGGAACTATCTTTGCATACAACTTGAAATGCCATAGTTTAGCATTTTTCTCAAACTTTTTTTATAGTTATTCTGTAGTGCTAAGCTTTAGAAATATATTTGATTTAATGTTCTCTGTACAAAAGGTGTATATATATATATATATATATGAGAATTTGAACCTCTTCTGATGCAGGACTTCAATGCCTAAGCGATGATAGAAAAGAATCTTGCACAATTTAATTTAGAGAGCTTTATTAACCAAGGTTTAAAATTGCGTAATTAAGCCTGGAGGCGTTTTTCGTCCGTGAGGCGAGGCGGTGTGAGGCGTAAACCTCACGGACGAAGAGTTGCGTAAATGAGAATTTAAATATTCTAATAGATTAATAACAGTAAGAGTCTATGATACAATAAAAATATCTAAAATAGAAGTGAACTTAGTGGAAAAAAAAAAGATGCAATATATGCATCTCATAGCATAATTCAAAGTAAAAAACTACAAATTAAAGTCTATCAGGACTCCCAAAGTACAAATAAGAAAAAAATATCTAAAATTCAATCATCTCCCATCACTACATGTGTCTTCAGTGGAGGCATCTTCATCTCCAATTGTATCTATAAATGCCAAATCTTCATTATCTTCAATTTTACACACTTATCTCTTAGGGTCCGTTTGGGATGACATTTTTACTAATTTGTATTTCATATCCATGCCACTCATTGTTTCTCTATTGCTTATTTTGTTGCATTTTTTTTAAATATTATTGGTGGAAAGTAATTTCTTATAGTTAAATATATTAGAGTACGATAACTATTAAAAAAAGCCTTCAAATTTGATTTTTTTTTTCAAAAGAGAAAGTTATAATGCCCACATTAACTTGCAAAAAAAATATTTTCATCCTAATCAGACCTTTAGATTAATAGGCATAGCACTTTCTCCAGTGGCAAAGCAAGAAATATTTAAAGGGGGCCTAACTTTAACTTTAACTTTAACTTTGCTTGAGCTGATTTTTATATTCACATTCAATTAATCACTTTACTATTTATATATATTAGAAAAAATCAATATACTCTATGAAGATATGCTTGCAAAATCCTTTCGGGTTTTTTTTGGGAAATTGCCCCCTCCCTCTTCAATACAAGCCCAAAACAATGGTTATATTGCTTGCATTATGACTTTGATTGAAATTGCATGCATCAATGTCTTCTTTAATCCCATAATAAATGACTATTCATGCAATGAGCAATCTTTCAGGAGAATGAACATGTCCATACCTATTAACGGCGAATGGAGCATCATGGCGCAAAGGTCCATTTGGAGCCATGGCACATAGCGCACGGTGCGACGCGCGCTATTTTGAACATGATGAAAGCTATATAAAAAATATAAAATAATAAGCATGAAAATGAAATATTATTAAAAATGAAATACAAGCTATCATAATAATAAAAGACAACCATAACATATATAAGTTCGACTAAGTAACATCCAAATATCTCATAATTCAAATATTACAATATTTTTTTAAAAGATCAAAATAAGAATTTAATTTACTCTTCTTGGGTATCATCATCATCAGCAAATATTAAAAAAGCTTCATTATCTTCTTCAACATTGTCTCCTACTTCATAATCCTCTTCATCACCCTTCTCATCATCATTTTCAATAACAACATCATGCCTAATTAAAGATTCTTTCTCTTTCCCTTTAGATCTTTTCCGAATATTATAACTTTTATCATAAACACCAGTAGCTTTAGCAACACTTGCCCAAGTTAAATCTTCCTCTCCAGCAATAAAGTCATTTTCTTCATCAGATTCATCATCTAATTTTTCTGTTAGCTATTCATTTGCATCATCTATCTCAGTCAAAGAAATAAGATCAATGACATCACGATGATTGAATCTCCGAATCAGTGCTCTATTATATTTCACATAAACTAAATCCTTTAAGCGACCATGATCCAATTTGCTTCTTCGTTTGCTATGAAGCTGCAATTAAAATATTATTACATTACTATATTATGACATATATAAAAAATCAACATATACATTGTAAAATACTTACATGTTCAAAAATACTCCAATTGCGTTCGCATCCAGATGAACTACATATTAAACTTAAGACTTTGATAGCAAAGCTTTGTAAATTGGGAGCTCCTTATCCATATGCCAACCACCAATCAGTCTTAATTTTTTTGTAAATAATGATACCTGAAGATCGGGTAGTTCTTTGTCTTACAGCTGGAGGAATACCAAAAAGTTATTCACCCCTAATGTATAAACTTAATTCATTATTGATTTTATCTTCTTCAGCTACATCTTGAGATAATCTTCCAATACATTGATAAAGACCATCAACTATTTTCTTATCCTTGGCAATATCAGGGTTATTGAAGAAATATTCAGGATTTAAAAAATGTCCCGCTGTATGTAGAGGCCGATGTAATTGCACTTCCCATCTTCTATCAATCATTTTGAAAATTTGATCATACTTATCACTGTTATTGAAGCTTGCAGCAATTACCTCTTTTGCTCTATTAATTGCTTCATATATGTAAGCGGGGCTTTTTCTCTCCATCAACCAATCTAAAAACCTTTAATAAAGGATCAACTATTTTTAAGGCATACACTATAGTGTTCCAAAATGATTGCTGTAAGATTGTATGCGGAGATTATTTTGCTTTAGCCTCTTTCGCATAAGGACCCAAGATAAAATTTCTCACAAGTAAAAATTTTCTTCAAGTTCAGTTGTTGTTGATGAAAACGTTGTAAAGTTAAGAAAGCTGTTGCAAAGCGAGTCTTTGCGGGTTTGACAATTGCTCTTTGATTTGTGCACATTCTCATTAACTCAAGTAAGCGAGACCTAGAATATATAAAACTGTGTACTGTCATTGCTTTCTCAAAGCATCCCCTTAGCTTTTGAATTTTGAAAATGTCCTCCATTAATAAATCCAAACAGTGAGCAACACAAGGAGTCCAATAAATGTGAGGATATTTGTCCATCAATAATTTTCCTATGATGTCATTATAATTTAAGTTAAGATATATACAAATTCTTCATGAAATAACATAACTTTAGAATAAAAGTTGTGACAAACCTCCAAGAACATTTTCGAATGCATTATCAGTGACTACTTGGATCACATTATGTGGTCCAATAACCTCGATATACTTGCAAAAAAGTTCAAACATTTTCACGGCATTCTTCGAAAAAGAACTAGCATCAATTGATTCTATGAATGCACTACCTCTTGGACAATTAACAAGAAAATTGATTAAGCTTTTCCCATTCCTTGACGTCCATCCATCTGCCATTAGAGAACAACCATATCGTATACAATCTTCTTGATGGTGTCGCAATAGCTCATGTGTATGTCCAACCTCTTTCTTCAAACAAGTAACTCGTACCTCATGATAACTAGGAGGTTTTATTTCAGGTCCAAACTGCCCAAGTGCCTCCACCATAGCAGGGAAACTATCATAGTTCACAGCATTAAATGGAATCCCAGCATCGTACATCCATCTACTGAACACTTGAACAGCCCTTCCCCTCATTTCTTTTTAGCTGTATCCATTTCTTTGTTAAACTGACCTTTTCTATGCTTTACTACATCTTCAGGATTTGGTGTAAGAAAAGTATCTAATGGACCTTTAGGTCGTGATGTTTTGAAGATAGATGTAGATGTCGATCCTTGACTAGATGTGTTAGATTTATTTGTCTGCAACATTTTGGATGGTTTAGCAACTAAAATATCATCTGTCATCACATCAAAGTCTACTCCTTCAGCAAGGTTGACATTTGATATGTCATTAAACTGTTCCTTTAAATCTTTTTTTTTTTTCATCATGAATGCCTTAATTTCAGACTTTATGTGTTCGGGACAGTTAGAGCAAGGCCTTGCATTCCTAAAACCCCCAACGAGGTGTTGTTTGTGGCGTGTAATTCCTCCTTTTGTTATTTTACCACAAAAAATGCATGTCACACTGTTGTTGTCGGATTCATTTGTTAGTATAGCATATTTCCATGCTGGATCTTTTTTTAAAGATTGAACTGAATCTGATATTTTATGATCACCTAAAAGCAAACAAATTTAGATAAAAGAAACATAATATTGTCCAAGAAACATAATATGGGGGTTGCCAGGGGGTCCAAGGGGGCGCTGCCCCTTGCAGGGTCTGACCTGCCCGATCAGGTCGCGGGAGTTTCCGGGGGCAGCGCCCCCGGAACAAAATTTATTTGCAAGAGGAATTTTGAAATTCGTTTGTAACTTTGTATGTAAATTAGAGAGCGGTACCGAGCATGTACCTAGTTGTACCGAGCTATACTGAGCAGTACAGAGCATGTAACTAGCGGTACCGAGCGGTACCGAGCATTTACATAGCAGTACCGAGCGGTATCATGCATGTACTTAGCAATACTGAGCATGTACCGAGTGTGTACCTAGTTGTACCGAGCATGTACTGAGCGGTACCGAGCATGTACTGAGCGGTACTGAGCATTTACATAA